TCTATGGAAAGATAAGACTCTCACGAACACTATGGTGTTCTCTGTTTTGCTCCACAAGCGTCTTGGGACTCATCTGAAGTATGTACATCTGATCTGCCAACTTCTGTCTGTAGCGTCCAAACAGTTTGGGCTACACACTAATATGACCCCTCTGTGGAAAGGTGAGACTCCCACGAACAAGCCAAAAGACCAACTTTAAAACATTCAGGCTATCCTAACTTCTAGGATGCCCACAGGCCTAACAAGACTCATCTGAAGGTCCCCTGGTACCAGTTGAAAAAAATGAATGGAAGTACTGTATATATGTTTAGTGCCAAACATAAGGGGTTAAATACATGTAAAGAAAAGGTTTTATTTTTATCCTGATCTTTCTTATATCGCTCAGATATAGGACAGACGCTTCAGAATAAACTTCCTTTAGATTTTTTTTGGGGGGACTATCTGTTGTTCAATGTAGTGAATCTGTTACTTAATGTGTTTGTATAGCAGTAAGGCCAAATAATAATTTTTTCAGCAAATAATAATATATTTTTTAAAATATACTTTAAGGGGTCTTAAAATTCCAAATCAAATAGTAAAATGATCCTTGATATGACCTTCTTAAAACAATTCCATATAGCTTAGTATAAAATGCATTGGATTGGTGTGGATGAATTGTCTAACATTACAGTTAAATCTTTGAGGGGGTTTGAATGAGTGCACAGGGGAGAAGGGGCACTGATCTCAACATAAGATGGCAACGCTCTGGACGCGCGTCTTGCCGGTTCCAGCTCGACATTGCTTTTTTATGGCTATTTTTGCATTAACTACTACTTTGTTTAATCAGAAGGTTCATGCAGTAATTTCCTACGACTGACAGTTTCAAGTTTTAATGTCACTCACAAGTACAGTGAAATTACTTTATTACAAGCTCCAAAACCAACAATGCATTAATCAATATCAATGTAGCACAAAAAATTGCATAAAGTAGAACAAAAATACACGAGAAATAAAAATAAGAAATAAGAATTTCTGGATCATGAATCGTAAGCTACACACTTATCTCTCAGCCTCCCAGATCTGGAATACTACATTCACTCCTTTGTACCCCACACAGCAGGCTTACCTGTTGCTGCTGACCAAGATGACCAAAGGCAACCCCGGCGACGAAGAAGAGAAACCAAGCTAGGCTGAAAAGGCAGGCTACACGACCTCCTCTTCCTAGTATCCTGATGGCTAATGTCCATTCAATGGAAAATAAACTTTGTTAACTCAGAGCAAGAGTTCAATCGCAGAGGGACATCAGGGAATGCTGTGTCTTTGTTTTTACAGAGACATGGCTTACGGACAATACATTTGACTCTGCTATTCAACCAGTCGGCTTTTCCATTTTCTGTATGGATCGAACAGCGGATTCTGGTAAGAGCTGGGGGGAGGTATATGCTTCTTATTGAACAATTCCTGGTGTACCAAAGTTAAAAACATCTCAAGCTCCCAACCTGGAGTTTGATGCTAACGCGCCGACCCGACTATATGCCGAGTGAATTCATGTGTGTTGTTATCACAGCTGTGTACCGCCACAAGCATACACCAAGGCGGCACTTAGCGACACTGTACAAAAACATTAGCCAGTATCCTCTCACCCGGGAAGCAGTCTTTATTGTCATGGGTGATTTTAACCAAACACGTTTAAAAATAATTTGTAACACTACCTTAAGTCTACATTAATTAATATGTAACTAAATAGTAATATATATAAATAGAACATATGTAATTACAAGATGTATTGTGCAAATGTAAATAACATGTTTTGTAATTACACTTTTGCAGTCTCCTGTGTAGCAACAAGTTAACAATGCATCCTAATATGTAACTACATAAGGCACTACCACCAAAAAAAAGCTAGGCTAGGACTCTGTCAGCTGTTGTAACAATGCACACCCTATCATTAACTACAGCTTCAGTTATCTTATTTCCATGTTATTTGGCTTAAATGATGTACTGAATTAAATGTAAGAGAAATGTATTTACAATGGATATGCATGTAACTATAATGTACCTACCCAGGAACAAGCAACTTACAGTTCAATCGGAAAGTATTCAGAACCCTTGGCTTTTTCCACATTTTGTTATGTTACAGCCTTATTCTAAAATTGATTAAATTGGTTTTTTCCCCTCATCAATCTACATACTATACCCCATAATGACAAAGTGAAAACACATTTTTAGAGATTTTTGCAAATGTAATAAAAAATTAAAACAGAAATAACTAATATACATAAGTATTCAAACCCTTTGCTATGAGACTCGAAATTGAGCTCAGGTGCATCCTGTTTCCATTGATCATCCTTGAGTTGTTTCTACAACTTCATTGGACATTCAATTGATTAGACATGATTTGGAAAGGCACACACCTGTCTATATAAGGTCCCACAGTTGACAATGCATGTCAGAGCAAAAACCAAGCCATGAGGTCGAAGGAATTGTCTGTAGAGCTCCGAGACAGGATCGTGTCGAGGCACAAATCTGGGGAAGGGTACCAAAAAATGTCTGCAGCATTAGGTCCGCAAGAACACAGTGGCCTCCATCATTCTTAAATGGAAGAAGTTTGTAACCACAAAGACTCTTCTTAGAGCTGGCAGCTCGGCCAAACTGAGCAATCGGGGGAGAAGGGCCTTGGCCAAGGAGTTGACCAAAATCTAAGATTAACATACTGTATCCTCAACAGCCAGAACATGCTGTAACCTAAACAGTTAAACATACATGTGTGCAAACAGTTCCTTGCGCCTCATCTCAGAAAACAGACTAACACATTTTTTAAAATTGTTTCTGTTTTTACAGCGGGAACACACTCTTACTTTCTCTTACATTATATCCACCCAGTGTGTGTGTGTGTGTGTGTTTGTGTGTGTGTGTATGCATGTGTGTGTGCGCGCGTGTGTGTGAATGAGTGTGCATAATCAGTGTCTATTTGAACTTATAAGTGATAGGGAGCAGTTTGGACACACCTACTATGCCTCTTCTTCTGTTTTATAGCATCGCTCACCTCTGATGTTGCATTTTTGGTGATCCTTCTTATTCTTATTGGTTGAGCGTCTCTTTAGAGCTGTCAAACGCTAGCTGTGAACGAATGAACTCCGGTCCCACTAGCATGACCTCTTCCAGAAGGGCACTCATTGCCACAGTGTTGCGATCCACACACACCCAGTGTACATGCTTCCCTTCTTTTTGTAGGTCGCCAGGACCTTCTTGTACCTTTTTGCTATGTCATCCGGGGTTTTGGCTGTTAACATATAAAACGTACATCAATTTATTAATGTGCTTGCTGAAATCTGAACACAATAGTTTTTATTCTAAACATACAGTACCAGTCAAAAGTTTGGACACACCTACTCATAAAAGGGTTTTTCTTTATTTTTACTATGTTTTACATTGTAAAAGAATAGTGAAGACATCAAAACTATGAAATAACACATATGGAATCATGTAGTAACCAAAAAAGTGTCAAACAAATCAAAATATATTTTATATTTGAGATTCTTCAAATAGCCACCCTTTGCCTTGATGACAGCTTTGCACACTCTTGGCATTCTCTCAACCAGCTTCACCTGGAATGCTTTTCCAACAGTCTTGAAGGAGTTCCCACATATGCTCAGCACTTGTTGGCTGCTTTTCCTTCACTCTGCTGTCCAACTCATCCCAAACCATCTCAATTGGGTTGAGGTTGGGGGATTGTGGAGGCCAGGTCATCTGATGCAGCACCCCACCACTCTCCTTCTTGGTAAAATAGCCCTTACAGCCAGGAGGTGATAGTCCCACTAAGCACAAACCAGATGGGATGGCGTATCACTGCAGAATGCTGTGCTAGCCATGCTGGTTAAGTGTGCCTTGAATTCTAAATAAATAACAGACAGTGTCACCAGCAAAGCACCCCCACACCATAACACCTCCTCCTCCATGCTTTACGGTGGGAAATACACATGTGGAGATCATCCATTTGGTTTGAACCAAAAATCTCCAAAGGACACATTTCCACCGGTCTAATGTCCATTGCTCGTGTTTCTTGGCCCAAGCAGGTCTCTTCTTCTTATTGGTGTCCTTTAGTAGTGGTTTCTTTGCAGCAATTCCACCATGAAGGCCTGATTCACACAGTCCCCTCTGAACAGTTGATGTTGAGATGTGTCTGTTACTTGAACTATGTGAACCATTTATTTTGGCTGCAATTTCTGAGGCTGGTAACTGTAATTAACTTATCCTCTGCAGCAGAGGTAACTCTGGGTCTTCCATTCCTGTGGTGGTCCTCATGAGAGCCAGTTTCATCATATCGCTTGATGGTTTTTGCGACTGCACTCCAAGAAACGTTCAAAGTTCTGCGGTGCAGGTTAGACAGAGGTTAGACAGTAGGCAGAGATGGTGAAACAAGGAACTTTACTGATGGTCCTGAAGCCAGGATACAAAATAACGGACTTTACACGAAAAAGAAAGGCAGAGTAAATAAGACTCCAAAAAACAGGCAGACAGCAAAAAATACGAAATACTAACTATGACTGAAATAATAAATAATCAGGAAGAACAATTCTCACGTACCTGTCCATACGTCCTGCGATCAGACACTGATTAGTGATGAAAAGTTTTTATTCAAAAATCCACACCATACATCATCATACACATTACACACACCATTAATTCCCAATCCCAACAACACTAAAAATAACAATACAAAACTACCCACCACAATATATATATCAAACACATGAAGGACTACCGGACCAAGTTTCCCAACAAAACTTCAGGTAAAACTCTGCCGGTAGCCCATCCATCCCGGGCACCTTACCTTTTCCCATCCTCCTGAGGGCGCTCTCAACCTCTTCTAGGGAGATCTGAGCCTCCATCGCTTCTCTAATGTCCTCTGGCACTCGCCGGGACAGGTGTTCTAAAAACATGTTTCACTGCTCTACATCTTGAAAAAAACCTTGACCATTTGACCGTGGTCACCTTGACCATTTCCTCAGTTTCTCTCACTACTCCCTAGCCCTGTACATTACCTTCCTACTCTGTCTTCCCCTAACTGATTTAAAGAACACGGCGGAACAAGTCTCGTCGTGTTCTAAAAACCCACTATGCGCACGCTCCAGGAAAGCGCGAGCCTTCCGCTCATGCACCTCCCTAAGTTGCACCTTTAGGGCAGAGGATCTCTCCCAGTCTACCGACCCGCCGAGGTTGCCTGCCTCAAGCTCGAGTTCTTGCAGCCTTTGGATATGATCCACCTCCCTCCTTTCCTTCCTCTTTTTCCTCTTACAATATCCTATTATAAAAGTCCTAATCCTCACCTTTGCAATTTCCCACCACTCTAACACCCCCTCACACATGGACCGGAGGCCCTCAAGCCCCCTAAAGAAATCAACAAAACCGTTAATGGAAGCCTGCTCATCCAGTACCTCCCGTTCTAACTTCCAGTACCCCCTACCGAAGAGGCAGACTGGTGCCCCCACCTGCAGCAGCACCCTGTTGTGATGCGAAAAAAACACAGGCAACAAACGCCCAGACAACTGACCCAGTGACCTGGATAGAAAAATATAGTTGAGCCTCCGCTCGACCCCTCTGGAGTTGCGACATGTTGGACCTGCCATCGTCGGAGCAGTGTGCAGGCCCCCATCTACCAGGCCATGGCACGCCATTAGCCCGGCGATGGCACCTGCACTACTGTCCCTCCCCCTCCCTATATTTATATTAAAATCCCCCCCTATCACCAAGTGTCTATTCGTGGCACACAGCGGCGCCAGGCAATCCACCATCTCCCTCCTGCCTGCCTCTCCTTCCAGAACTGCTACGGCAGTCCCCTGCCCGTCCCCCTCTCCTCCCGCTGCTGTTCTCGGCTCTTCCTCCGTCGTCAATGGTATTGCCTCTGGCCCTGCGCTTGGATCTGGAACTCCTCCTCCTCTTCCTCCTCCATCCCCCGCTCCTGCCCCTGCTCCCCCACCAGCTGCAGCTGCATACGACTTGTGACGAGCCGTACACTTCCTCCACAAGTGTGCTGACGATCCACACCCGTGGCACTTCTTCGACTCGTCACAGTCCCTCGCCTCGTGTGCCTCAGACCCACACACCCTGCATTTCTTCGCCCCACATGAGGCGAAATTATGGCCATAGGCCATGCATCGTCTGCAGAAAGTGGGATGACGGGCATAAAACAATGTCCCCCTGTCAGGCCCCAGGGTGAACAGAGCTGGAGGATGAAGGTAACCTCCCAGGCCCTTTGGGTCTTCCCTCAACAGAGCCTGGAAGCTTCTCCTCCTGTTCCAGAAACCTAGCGAGTCTTTGAGGAGCCTTGCCGAGGAGACATTGTCCATATACCTCCCCATAAAAGCCCTCACCTCCTCATCCTTAACATGCGGGTTACACATGTTTACTGTTATTACCCTGAAGTTGTTCTTGGCCAAGCTTGTCACCTCGTAGTGGCACATCGGCCTGGCCTTCTCCACCTCCCTCGCCTTTTTCATGACCTCGTCATGCTTCCCCTCCATGTGAAAAACCACATCATAAGCCCCTTCCAAGGGGTACGCCTGGAGGCACATCACGTCCTTTACCGCCAGCTTTAACACTCCCATCAACAAAGTCCTCCCAAATGTTTCCCTTCCAAAAGGCTCCATGTCCTTCTCCTTCCACGCAAACCTAACTGTGTTCGTGATCCCAATCCTGGGAATCGCCCTAAAATTCACATTTTTCGCCATCTCTGCGAGGAGAATAGCGCCCGCACCACTGCTCCGACTCGTCTCTATATTAGTTACAAACAATTTTTTACTATTTTAATTGATTTAAACCACAGCTAGCTTTCTTCTTAGACAGTCGTAGTACTACTGGGCATAGATAAACTAGCAGAGAAAACTGAGCAAGGGAACACAGGGAAGTGAGGGCATAAATACACAGGTGAATCAGATAGACACAGGTGACACCAATAGGAAGATGATTAGTCTCAAATCTGAGTGAGGAGGTGCCTAAGGTTGTCGGAGGATTACACCTAGTGGGTGGCTCCCGAACTGTGACCCACTCCTGTAACACTGATTGGCTCAAACGCATTAAGAAGGAAAGAAATTCCACAAATTAACTTTTAACAAGGCACACCTGTTAATTGAAATGCATTCCAGGTGACTACCTCATGAAGCTGATTGAGAGAATTCCAAGAGTGTGCAAAGCTGTCATCAAGACAAAGGGTGGCTATTTGAAGAATCTTAAATATAAAATATATTTTCATTTGTTTAACACTTTTTGGGTTACTACATGATTCTATATGTGTTATTTCATAGTTTTGATGTCTTCACTATTATTCTACAATGTAATTTATTTATTTTTATAAATAAAAAGCCTTGAATTAGTAGGTGTGTCCAAACTTTTGACTGGTTGTTCGCACATGTATATCTTTCCTTCTACCATAACTCAAATTAATCTTAAGCTAGAATACCAAATCAACTTCAGCATGTACAGAATGATTGAGGTTGTTTAATTAGAAAACATGATAACACTTATCCTTAAGTTGATGTTATATAGTAACTACATAGTAATACTCTTAGTAACACCAATGTAGGTAAATAGTAATTCCAATGTAATTCCAGTTTGGTGTCACGTTATTACAGGATGCCTCCCCCCGAGTCCTCCCTCCCCATACCTTGTTCCACCTGTGTAATAACCAATGGCTCTACACAATATTACCATGGATTGACATAGTTGCAATTCCAATAAAACTACAATGTTGTTAATAAAAGTATTACTATCTAGTAACTAATACTAAAACTATGTAGTTACTATTACATAGTAATTTGTTCATTTTATACTTTAAGCTATATCAAATATGCCATATTGCTTTTGCCAGGGGGCTTTAGGGCCCAAAATTATCAGAGTGTAAATTAACCTTAATTAAGGTGTTGGAAAACTGAGTGGTAGTACAGTGGTTCCTCAATTAAAAGTTTTGAGCTTATGCTGCGACCGTATGTGGTAGATGGTGGCAGATTGTGCTAAATTGCGTCATTCCGTCATTGCGCCACACTATCACAAGGGGGAGTTAGAACAGTGATTATGCTTTTGGTTTCTCTCCCTCTAAAAGCAGAAATAAATAATTCTAAATAACAAACTAGCTTTATTTACCACTGTGTGAAAGACAAAAGGACATACTCCAGACCACATGACACTCATGGGCGACCCTTTTGGAATGTATAGAGTTTCTGAAACACTGAGTCCTTCTTTGCTGATGTGAAGGTTGAAACTGAAAGAGAGTCCAGTGGGGATAGGGAGGGGAAAAAGGTTGTCCATATTTTCAAGACCTGAGCTACTTCATTTATTTATTAAATGTACTAGTTTATTCACGCAATTTAATATATTTGTTTAGGCTTGGCCTATTTTGTAGGCTATTTTGCAGCACAAAGCTATATTTGTCAGCATAAAGCTGAGTGACTAACTCATTTGTGGCTTTGGATCAAAATAAGTACCAACATTCTTTCTGATAGTCTTTAATAAAGAAATGTTTTGACCAAGTTAATCTGCTCATGTTGTGTGTGTATGTGTGTGTGTTCAATTATTTGTGAAATTGTGGTTTCAATGAAGAATGTAAACAAACACATCACTCTCCGCCACATGGCCTCAAACTGCACCATTTTGTTTCTCTCCGTCGCACATGCACTTTCAACATTTGGATAATAAAGCATTTAAAGGCTGACATTTGTTGATTTTCCGTTTTTAAGTATATGTTTTTTTCAAGATGATTGACAAGAAAAGTATCATCCAACCCATAGGGCATCTCACTGCACCCTTATATGCCATGTCTTGAAATATGACAGGTGGATTAAAAGTTTATTTCCATTGTAATATTTCTGACAGCCACATTTTTAACTCCAACCATAACTTTTGGACTTTATTACATTCCCAGAAGGCAATGATTGCTATAACCTAATGAAAAATAAACCTGGTAATCTAATGTAATATTTCTGCAGGCCTAAGACCTATGGGTTTAACCTTCTGAATGAATGATTATATTGAAGATAGAAGCCGCCTCTTAATGAGTTCTGAGAGCTGATCCGTTACCCAACAAAATAACATTAATTTATTTAGCCTAATTGTTTTTATGACTACAGACAGTAGGCTAATATTCCTATTTTCCTCCATTAATTAATTTGTCTGCATGTCTATTCAACATTTGGCTAAAAATAAACCATGCCATGAATTAAGAACGATATATATTTTTTTCACAATTCAATGCGGCACATTGACAAGTCAAATCGCTTTAAAGAGCCTTCTAATATTAGACAACAAATAAATATACTAAAACAATAACTTCAAAAACATTCCATTCATAACTGGATTTCTTCAAATTGCTGTGCAGGAAAAGGATGTCATCCACCATGCCTGGTCTCAGGCTTGCAGCTGGCTTCTCTCTGAAACCAAATATCCATCTGTAGGTGACGCTTTATCCTTTGGAACCACACAATTACCAGGTGGACAGTAGGCCTCTTGAAGCGATAGAGGAAATCAACAAGATCCACAAGTATTCTTACACAATAGCTGGCCTTATGTTATCTGCAGTTTTGAACTGCACTGTCCCACTCCGTGGATGGATAACATCCACTCTTCGTTTATGTAATGGGCTGTAAGGCACAAGTATCCTATTTTTCGAAAATTGTCAGTCCACATGTCAAGTGTAAGTGCGCCATTATATTTACCCAAGTTCTCTTTCAACTCCGGGACCACCTGCCAGCTGATTTTCTTTGCCTGATGCAGGACTCTAGTGTGATAGGAGAGAGACTGACTGAAACATTCACACCTCCATTAATTTACAAAGGGATAGTGTAATAGCTCGGCTAGGTGTGAAAAATCCCCCAATTTGTGCCACAGTTTAGACTACCGATAGTCAGATTGAGTCCTATTGTAAAGTGTAGCCTAATGGCCAAAAAAGGGCAAACTTGGAATGTATTCGAGGCTTAAGTACTCTAAAGTTTTACATTTCTAACTCAATATCACAAACCAGATTTGCCCTAACGAAGAATGCATCAACCCCTACAAATACATTCATTTATTATAATCCACATAATAATTCAAACGAAATTAGCTGTAGCGAGAGGAGAGACTGTATGCTAAAGACAATCAGAAAGAATGTGTCTTCAACCCTGCATTATAATATAACTTATTTTGAACGAAAGCCAGGAATGAGTGAGTCACTCAGCCCTATGCTTCTGTTCCTGCTTATGTTGCCTATTTGAGTGTTTGTTTAATATCCTACTGATTCTGTGATCACCAAGCCTCATGGAACTAAAAATGTCGGATAAAGCAAACATGCACAGACACATGAGGACAAACAATATAGCGTAGTTATAGAAATAATGAAGTGTCTTACTATTCTCCATGGTTGGTCCTCTTGCACGGTTGGTCCTCCCTGTTGCCAGGGAACAGCAACCTCTTCGAAAAAGTAGGCGAAGATCTCCCGCACACAGATTGCCTCCCATGCTCTATTGTTGGCCCCCATCCTCGAAACATCCTGCAGAGCAGCAGACCTCTCCTCTGGAACACGGCGGTGAGCTGCAGATCCCCTCCTGGTCCTCGTGTCCATCCTCATTAAGTTATGCAGGACACAGGTAGCCTTCACACGCCTGAATTCCCCTAGGAGGCAGTCCCAGATGGCCCTGGTCACCCCACCTTGCAGTGCCCTACACGGTAACTGTAGGCAATCATTTTGAAGGAATCTCCAGTTGCAAGGTATCTGTAGGAATATGGAAGATAATGTCATTATTAGACTTTTACATCACCAGGTCATTGTGGATTACTGAAGTATAATATCTCTTATAACAAATAATGATAACATTGGATAGATGCATGTGCACACACGTGCATGTGTGGCATGTGACAACAGCAGGATCATATCAAGGATAGCATCACAAATGAATACATAAATACCACTTGAAGCTTGATGATGAGTTGATCATTTGAATCAGCTGTGTAGTGCTAAGGCAAAAATAAAAATATGCATCCCTTTGAGTCCCCAGGACCAGGACTGAGAACCACTGCTCTTCATTGGGACCTCTTCATCTGCAGACAGGCTTTCACAGCTCTCTGTGTCTGAGGAAAGAAAACATCACAAGAAACATACTTCATTATACTAAAATTAGACAGCACTGAATATTATGATACTATTATCTCTGTCCTCACTTCTAGGGACTGGAACTACACAAAAGTACCTGCCCTATCCAGAATAGCCTACTCTCTCACTTTGACAGTTGGGGCTGCTATCCTTTCACCCTCCTCCATGGCTGTTAGCTAGCTAGCTACAAATGCAAGATAGCTAGCTAATATGAAGTTAGGTAGCTGGTGATATTTAATTCACTTAACTAGCTAGCTATACAGTATTTAAAGTTGGCTAGATAGCTAGCTAGCTACATTAGCAGCTCATTTGAGTTAGCCTGCACTGTAGCTAGTTAGCTAATAATACATTGTTTTTTTTAACATTTTCGAAATGTATTTACTTACTTGAATAGGTTCTCCCAGCCATGTGGACGATTGGAAACAGGACAGCATAGGTTGTTTGTCACCAGAGCAGTTTAGAGCATATTACTATTTACCTGTGAATCAA